TGCGCCGCGGCGTCCCGGGTGGCAGAGGCGGCGTGACGAGCCTGCGGCCTTGCCCGCCCGGAGCTGGCGTACCTGAGCCCGTCGAGTAGGCGCTGTCCTACAGACCAGCGGGACGTGCACGGACAGTTAAACATGCCTGTGGTTCCGTCAGGGGGAAGGGGAACGTGGGGAGCGAAGGCCTCACAAAGTCGTTATCACTGTCATTAATACAAAACTTACAAGCGTTACTTTGCTCTTCGATGGAACAAGATCTGATCACTCTGTAGAAGATCTAGGAGCTCTAAGCAGCTCAGTGAGCTTTGCAGAATGGGTGAAAGAGTTTCCATTACTCTTCTAACACTTGCTGTTGGACACTGCTCATTTCCGGCTTTGTCAAGGAATAAACTGTACAGCTAAAGTTGTTTGTTGGTGCACAGCTCTGTCTGTGCAGCCTTGACTGCTGTCTCAAACGTCTGAGCATCACTTTGAAGGACTCAGCATCTCATCGGGGAGTGTGATCATGGAGAAACTGCTGAACAACTTCTGCTTGTTTTGTTTGTTGTATTTGTTGTGTTTTTTTTTTCCTCTAGTGACTATCACAAGAAACAGAATGCCCTCAGAGCACTTCAAAAGAAAGCTCTGGACAAGAATCCTGATGAGTTCTACTTTAAAATGATACGTGCAGAGGTCCAGGTGAGAATCTAAATTGCCTTCAAGCAGGGTTACACTCTGTTGCTCTAAGTGATGTAATTTTTTTTCTGCCTTGCTTTGTTTCTAATTTATGAATTAGTAAATAAATTAGGAGACTTGGTTTGGTGCCTGTGGAAGGCTTTGAAGAAAGTGAGGGGCAAAGGACAAAAAGGTTATTTTGCTTTGATTATTAGGACCTGTAGTACACTACAGCTGGAATGGTATCTGTCTGTAAGCGCTATGTTCCACCTGGTTTTAGGATGGAGTTCATATAATAAAGCAGCCAAAGGATGAAGTGACCCCAGAACAGGTGAAATTGATGAGGACGCAGGATATTAAATACGTGGAAATGAAAAGAGTGGCAGAAGCCAAGGTAATACTTCACTGTTTTAGTGTTTTCCAGTTTACTCAGAATTGTTCTTTTTATTGTGTTTTTTTGTTGTTGTTGGCCGTTGTGTTTATGTTTAGTGAAATGTGGTTTGTGTAATGCTGGAAATGATAGGTGGAAACGTCAGTGGAGCTCTGTGTATAGAACCTAAAGGTACACTGAATGATAAAAACGATATTGTGCATTGTTATAAAACATGGCAATTTCTTATGTAAATTTCAGACATTAAGCACGTACTCTTGCTTCTCGTATTTATAAAGAATTGAGGATTATTGTTACTGCCATGAGTTGTTTGAATACGGTAGGCAGGCAATCGACAGGAATACGACCCACTTCTGAGAATGTTCTTTGCTCTGATGTTGGTCCACACACCATCACTGAAGATAAAAAAAATGAAGTGTCAGCTTTCAATTTTTCTTCATACTTTTAGTAGCAATTTCATGGTAATCATTACTACTTTGCCATGCAGTTAACTTACTGTTTTGAAAATTGATTTGTACATATTTGGCTGGGTAATGCTGGAAATTCCTGTTAACCTCTACTCGAAAAGGTTGTGAAGACATGACAGAAACATGGACTGGGTATATTTTCAAAGACTGAAAAGGAAGGAAGAGTTGAGATGCTTGAGAAACAAACAGGAATTTACATCAGGGAGACATTATTTACCGTGTTACGGGTGTTTGGCAGAACAGATGAACTTTTCTTTCCCGCAGAAAATCGAGCGGCTGAAGTCGGAGCTCCATCTCCTGGATGCCGAGGGGAAGAATCCCAACAAGCACGTGTTCTTTTTTGATACCAAAAAAGAAGGTAAGATTTAAGTAGGTTTTATCAGAAGACTTGTTCTGTGATGTTTTATTGTAGGTTATTTAAAATAGTATGGTGCTTGCTTTATGTCATTATCATAAAAAAAGGGTTTTTTCAGGAATAATTGTTCAGGTGCTCTAGAAATATCTTTTGATCTAATCTTTAGATGAGACCCCAGATCTGCAGGAGCTGTGTTGCTGAGACTTCCATCACTGACTGTACTTAAGCTAGTTTAGAAGGTTTACAGAGCGTTAGACCAAGCAGTCCATGTGAGTTTATTCCTAAATTTCTTTTTATTTGTAGTTGAGGAGTTTGATATCGCAACTCATCTGGATACTGTTCCAGAGCTCGTAAATAGAGTGTACAACCGACCGACCATTGCAACGCTGCAGAAGGAGACAGTGAAAGGAGCTACTGATCCTGCCCACTTAAAGGTACTGCCACTCTTTGTGTTACAGTTTTATTAACATTTTACATCTTTGATATAGTAAGCATTAAAGGGGATTCCTTGGACTGTTGTGGAGGAGAGCAAAGTTGTTCTTAGAATTTTTACTGGTGACACAAGGCTGTAGTGGATGTCAGTTAATCATCGAGCGCCTGGAGCCTTCAGCCGAATCTTCTGGACCGACACGGAGAACTTGTTCAGTCGTATCCCAGTCAGCTGTGGATTGTAAATCGAGAGTTGTGATGTATGGGCCAGAAAGGAATGGTATAGATCTGATTAGGCAGTTTCCTTGGCAAAATTGATGTATTTCTTCTCCGTTACACAACATACACCTATGGGACTATTTGTTCATCAGATTGCTGCAGTTTTAAGTGTGATTTTTGCAGCATCCACTGTTAAGTCTCCCCTTGCACCTCCCCAAAACCCCTTGCACCCCGGAGTAGGGATGTGAAGAGGCTTATTCCAACATAGATGTATCTGTTGTTGCATTATCTCATGGTATTTTTCTGTTAGGTTCTGAGCCTGAAGTGCCTTGAGATTTAGGATTTGTCCCCCCTTTTCGTCTCAAGGACATTTAAGCTATAGTCTCACTTCCTGGCTTTCCTATTCAAAGTGTTTCATGATCCTTACACAGTCAACTTTGATTCTGGTTTGTATCGCAGCACTTCTGTCCTAGAAGTAGCTACACTTGACTTTAACACTGTAAACACAGCTTAATTACTTTAGACTTATTGGGCAGTCCTATAAGCTTGAGTTGGTTTGTGTAAGGTAAAAATAAAGTTGTCTAAAATTGCTGATTGGTAAATTTGTAACCTGTTGTTTTCTGAGTCAGATGTCAGATGTCAGATAACAAATGCCCTGTGGTCCCTTTCTCCTTGCCAGGTTTCTCAGTTTGGCTTGTCAGTAAAGCAGTTGGACAAGTTGTAGACTGACAAATTTTCTCCTCTAAATGTCTGAGTCATATTTTAAGCGTGTTGGGATCTGTTCTCCTTAATTTAATTACTTAAATCACACCTGCAGTAATACCATTTTTCTGTTGGGAAAGCCATCCGCTCTTAGTAGGTAAACGTGACCAAACAAGTTGCATTTTGGGAAGTCTTTGTACAATGTCAAAGCACTTCAGGAACTGGGCTCTGGTCTTTCTACCCCCCCGCCCAATCTGGATAAAGTGGGTTTTCATTAGGGGATAAATGTTACCTTGCAGTCAACATTGAAATTCAGAGGATTTAGACGAATGAAATTCCAGCCACTTACTGAACAAGGTGACACAGCATCTAAACGACATTAGGAGAGGTTGCAGTTTTATGTTTGGGTTTAGGAGATTAAAACAAACACAAAAAAATTAAGTCTTAACCAGAAAACCTCTAGTGTGAGGATCAAGGTGTTAAAACAGTTCTCTGGAATCTAGCCACAGAACTGGAGCAGCATTCTTTAATATGATTGATTTAAAAACTTGTTTGTGAGGTCCCAGTGCCTCAGAATAGGTTGTAGACCACAGTGTCTTGTTCCTCTCTCTGTCTGAAAAATGTTTCTCTTTTTTTTTCCCCTCCAGAAATTAGCCCAGCAAAGGAAGAATCAGTATGACCTCCTGAAGCAGCGCATTGAAAGAGAAAAGGCCATGTTTGTTGTTACACAGAAGATCCAGACACGTAAAGATCTTTTGGTGAGGGGTTTAGTTCTGGCTCCGAATCTGTTTTGTTAAGGTCATTAGGTCTCGTTTTGTATGTATGTGTTTCTTCACTCTGATTTTATACTGACACTTCCAGATAACTCCTAAAAATAAGTAATCCTCTTTTAGTATGGAAGAAGCGAGGAGATGAAGCATTCCAGTTGTGCCATGGCTAGTAAATAATATCTGCTGATCCAACCCTTACCATGTCAGCAAGGACAAAGACTCGACTTTGAAATGGTGCTTACGAGCCTTTTCTAAAATGCTGGTGCCACCTCTCAGGTACTGAATTAATGCTTCCGAGTAGCAGAGGCAAGGCACCGTTTGTGCAGGGTATGAGAAGATCTTAAAAATCCCAGTGACCAAAGAATTCCTTGTCACCATGGGACTCGCTGTTCGCCGGTGCTTGTGAACAAAGCAGGCTGTGCCTGACAACCTAAAGGCAGAAAGAGCAGACAAATATAATCCCCACCTGAACAGTGGAAAGTGACTGTTTTTCTCTGATGCCATGTCAGTCCCAGACAGGGGCTTTCTTAGTTCTATCAGGGTGAGTTGTTTTCTTCTTACATGCCAGCAAATATTTTTTTCTTGTTCTTTTTTCCAGGACAAAACTCATAAAGTAAAGGTGAAGAAAGAGACAGCAAATGGTCCAGCTATCTACAAATTCAAATTTCAGCGGAAACGTTAACCATTCCATTGAATATTTGTTACCATCTCTGCATAGAAAGAAGGAGGATCCACCTTATGAAGGAGGACTGATGCACCGCATCAATTTGTTCTTCACTGCAGCCTTGCACTTTGTTACCACAAATTACTGTGGGCCTGCAGTAGCCATAAATATATTGTATCTAATTAATTGATTAATAAATCAGAGAGTTTGTTCTCTTGGTATTTACAGCGGGAAGCCACAAGAGGTGCCTGAATGTCCTAGTAATGCACACCATAAACAATCCTTGAAAAGTCAAGGTCAAAATGAAGGGGCTGGGAGGTGGGTTGTGCAGCACGTGGTGCGTGGAGCTTGTCACGTGCAGCTCATGGTTGTGACCGTGACATGTCCAAAACCGTAAGAGATGGCAGGTCAGCTTCTCTAGCTGTCTTTTCTAGCTGGTTAAAATTGAACTACTATCTTTCTAATCACTCCCCACCACGGCCCCTAAATCCCGCTTTGATTTTCCCATTCTGCTTCAGCTGCGCACAGTATTTCACCTTAGGCAAGAGGTGAAGCCTTGCTGAGGGCGCATTGCTGAATTCAGGCACCATATTAGCCAGACGACTCTGGGACGGTGCTAGCAGCAGGGAGTTGTTTCTCCCACTGTATAGAAAGGTAGAAAAACTCACCCTTTATGAATAATTTCCGTAGCTGAGGAGCTGTTTGTGCTTACTCCGTCGTCTGTGTGATGGGGCAGTGCCCGTGCCACGCCGAAATTCCGGTGTTGCCTACCAAGTTTGAGCAGAGGCGATGCTGAAATTGGTGTCTAGGGAGAGACAGCGCAGAAGCCAACTGTGGGACAAAAGTTTGTCTCTGTTTACGCTTGTTGCAACGCTGGTAGCTGGAAGGGGCTTTCAGCGAGAACAATGAAGACACGTCCTTGAGTGTCCTGGAGCAGTTCGGGCAAGTTAAGAGAGCCTGGGCGTAAACATTCCTTTTCTTATCTCTCTCACTTGTGCTGTGTCTGCCAATATGAGCACATGCCCATGCAAGATGGTGAAAAAAGAAGATGCTCTTCTCGGGCTCTTCCCACTTTGGGAGTTTTCCCCCTTCTCTTAGAAGAAACGCGACTTTTTTTACATGCTCGCATGCACGTAAAAAACGGCTTCAGG